AGAAAGCAATTAAAATTGCAATGTTTCATTTTGCACATTGAGGCAAATAATCAATTATTTTACCTACTGAATATTGATTGGCCTCAGATCATTCATGGATGGTTATTACTTTTGATTAAAATTTATAGTAGTGTAAAATTGAATAATATTTTGATTGTCGAGTCCCAAATACTAGATAACCACTAACCACTTAATGAGAACAGAGGAATGTCAACAAGATATTAATTACATCTTTTTATCTGAAAGGGCTTCAAATTTTCAGGAGGATTTTTGCTCATTACAAACTTGAAAGAGAACTAACCAGGTCAGTGCTATGTCTATTGTGCTGTGTTAACAGCAGCATTTTCCCTTTCACACTTTGATTTAACATAGTTATCATTAAGAGTGCTATTAAAATTACTTCCTCTCTCAGATTTACCTCAAGCTTCTGCCGAGCTGTCCCTTCTTCTTGCTGGATTGTAAATTAAACAAAATTATTTTTACCAATTGATGAAACTAAACACAACTCTTAACATCCATTTGCAGAAACAGGGACAGTGGCTATCCTACCCAAAGGATAAGGCTTGCCAACTTCACGCTGCCTCCATAGCTCCACAAGTGTGGTTTGTAGCCCAGTGCTAAATGCATGACAACAAGGTGCAGGGCTGGATGAACACAGCAGGCCAAGCAGCATCATAGGAGCAGAAAGGTTGACATTTCGGGCCTAGACCCTTCATCAGAAAAGGGGGAGGGGAAGGGGGTTCTGAAATAAATAGGGAGAGAGTCGGAGGCGGATAGAAGATGGATAGAGGAGAGGATAGGTGGAGAGGAAACAAACAGGTCGAAAAGGCGGGGATGGAGCCAGTAAAGGTGAGTGTAGGTGGGGAGTTAGGGAGGGGATAGGTCAGTCCAGGAAGGACGGACAGGTCAAGGGGGCGGGATGAGGTTAGTAGGTAGGAGATGGGGGTGCGGCTTGAGGTGGGAGGAGGGGATAGGTGGGAGGAAGAACAGGTTAGGGAGGCGGGGACGAGCTGGACTGGTTTTGGGATGCGGTAGGGGGAGGGGAGATTTGGAAGCTTGTGAAATCCACATTGATACCATTGGGCTGCAGGGTTCCCAAGCGGAATATGAGTTGCTGTTCCTGCGACCTTTGGGTGGCATCGTTGTGGCACTACTAACCTCATCCCGCCCCCTTGACCTGTCCGTCCTCCCTGGACTGACCTATCCCCTCCCTAACTCCCACCTACACTCACCTTTACTGGCTCCATCCCCGCCTCTTCGACCTGTTTGTTTCCTCTCCACCTATCCTCTCCTCTATCCATCTTCTATCCACCTCCCCCTCTCTCCCTATTTATTTCAGAACCCCCTTGCCCTCCCCCATTTCTGACGAAGGGTCTAGGCCCGAAACGTCAGCCTTTCTGCTTCTATGATGCTGCTTGGCCTGCTGTGTTCATCCAGCCCTGCACCTTGTTGTCTCGGATTCTCCAGCATTTGCAGTTCCTACTATCTCTAAATGCATGACTGACTGGCTTAATGCTTTGCAGGGGGCCCAGGGTCATGTGATTGGAACATGAGTTTTTTTTTTCACTTAAAGCCTTCCTGCAGCTCCTAAAGGTGAGCGCAATTCTTGCTACAGTGGGCTCTCAACTGCTTGTGGAAGAGTTTCAATAGAGCAGCAGACCAAAAAGACAGATTCTTCGATGTAGTTCTGTGGGCCACATTGAGGGAAATGGTAGCATATAGCTATTGCATTTGGGCTGGAAGACCTGGTTGTGGCACGAGGGAAAGTTCAGCGTTCACACAGAAGTCGTCAAAGTCAGTGAACACACTTCTCCGACCCATCATAACACCAATCTTACATGCTGCTCAACACACCAAACATTCATTTAAAGTCTCTGTTATCAGCATATATACAACATTTATATGCTTCCGGTTCACCTTCATACATTCAGCACTGCAATCCTCCCAACCATATCTCACAGCTTCCACGAGCATCCAACAGTTCAGCAATGACATGACACCCCAACAAATTGCAACACACTTGACACTTTTCTCTCATAGTATACAGAGGCACATAAGCAGCAGAAAACAAGGTCAGAGGGTGGATCAGGTGAACAAGTGTAGCTTCATTCCGTCACCTCCTTGGAGGACATAATGCTCTAAATTATTGGAGAGGCAAACATGAAGGGCAAGCAATAGGCATAACTAAAACTACCTACAGTGATTGTTTCTTCATGCTTTACGTAATATCTTGAACATTACCCTCATCCCACAGCTGAACTGATGTATATACTGCAGGTGGTGTGATCTAGACCTCTTACTTAACACACAACTGCCTGTTTCCTCAACCCTACATAATCCTCACTTTAATTGACCTTCTTGGGGAACACCTTAAGTACCAGCTGGTGAAGAATTGCAGACATCTATCAGGTATTCATTTCAGCCGAGTATCGTAATGAGATATATTTACAAAATATGATTTATCCAAGGAATTAAAATCACAAGCTTCAAATACTAAGTCATAAATATTCAAAGGAAAAATGAACAGCTTGGGCATGAAATAGTTTACAGTTTCAGCTTATTGTCCACAATCTCAGGGAGCATTCGACACTTGGCATTAAATATTAAAGACTTCGACAACAATATCCTAATGCTTAGAATGAAGGGATTCCCTGTTAGGGTTTTCCATTAGGGATGCCCCTAATGAGTCCACATGATTCAGTCCTTTTGAACTGATATTTGGGCATGGAGTGAGAAGGCCTCTTGTATTAAATTAAATTTTAAAAAACTTAAACAAAAGCTCAGAGACTGCATTTCTGATATGTGTTAAATATCCTGTAAGAACTAACAAAAGAAAATGAAACAAAAGCAGAAATTGCTGGAAACCCTCAGCAGGTCTGGCAGCACCTGTGGAGAGAAATCCGTGTTAATGTTTCAGGTCCAGTGACCCTTTTTCAGAACCCTTCGGATCACTGGACCCAAAACATTAACTCTGATTTCTCCCCACAGATGCTGCCAAAACTGCTGAGATTTTCTAGCATTCACTGTTTTTGTTTCAGATGTCCAGCATCTACAGTTCTTTCAGTTTTTTGACCAAAGACGGTAAGTTATTCAAAACATTTGAACATTATTTAATAAACAGCAAGAATTAGAGAAAAAAGGTCAAAATTCATTTTTTGTCACTGAAAACAAGTTGTTATTACTTTACCTAACTCTGAAGAACTATTTAAAAAACATGGTTCACTGGATCATATCAAATCAAAAAGAGGCTTTATTATATAAATTATAGAATCATAGAATACCTACAATATGGAAGCAGGCCATTCAACCTACTGAGTTAATACCAACCCTCCGAAGGGCATTCTATTCCGACCCATCTCCCTACCCTATTCCAGTACTCTACATTTCCCATGGCCAATCCACCTAACCTGCACTTCTTTGGACTGCAGGAGGAAATTGGTGTGCCCAAAGGAAACCGACAAAGACACAGGGAGAATGTGCAAACTCCACACAGACAGTCACCCGAGGGTGGAATCAAACCCAGGTTCCTGGCACTGTGAGGCAGAAGTGCTAACCACTGAGGCACCATGCCACCCTTTGAAGGCCGGAAAGAGAGAGAAATGCACAGGAGGGCAAGGAGACTGTTAATAGTAAGACAAGGAAGAAGAAAAGTTAGATAGGTGATAATGTAGATTATGAACAGTTAAAAATGGGTTGATTGTGCCGAAATTAGCAAGAAGGTCGGGATTATTTTCATGGACAGAGTGGAGGTGTTACAGAAAGGGGTCAGCCAGTCTATATTTGGTCTCACCAATATAGAGAAGACCACACTGTGAGCAGTGAGTACAGCAGTCTAGATTGAATGAAGTACAAGGAAACTACTGCTTCACTTCAAAGGTGTGTTGGAGCCTTGTTCAGAAAGGGAAAGGACAAGTGTTACACCTCTGCAATTGTGTTGTGCCGTTGTGGTGGTGGTGGGGAGGGGGAGTGAGAGAGCTGTTCGGAGTCTCAAGGGAGTGGACTAGGGTGTCACAGAGGCAACAGCCCCTATGAATCCTCACAAGGAAGGGGAAGTGAAGATGTATTTGATTGTGGGATCCTGCTGGAGATGTCAGAAATCACAGAGGATAATCCTTTCAATGAAAAGACCAGTGGAGTGAGAATTGAGGACAAGAGGAATCCAATTGTTGTTCTAGGAGGGAGATGAAGGGGTGAGGGCTGAATTGCAAGAAATAGATTGGACATGACTAAGGGCCCTGTCACTACATTGGATTTGAATTCTTCATTGAAGAGGAAGAGTTGTGGGAGATGGCCTCAGTAGGACTGGAACAAAGAATTGTTAAAATATCCCACAAAGAAGAAGGAATAACTGGGACCTTAGTAGGTATCTATACTCATATCTTTTACTTGACGAAAGTAAAAAGTGTTAAAGGCAAAATTGTTCAAAATTAGAACTCTGAAGACTGCTCTTCATACAAACCACAATCCACTAAATTTCTACTGTAGTTTTATAGTAAGAATTTGAGACTGTTTCTGTAGAATTTATTGCTACAGCATTATAATTTGAAAATCATTCAAGTAGCAGAAAGAGACTCAATCATAGTGGATGCTTTATCAAGAGCTAATGTTCATGAAAATGAATATTGTGATCAAAATAGACCTTTGTAGAATATGAATTGTTATGAAAAGTCTTTATGTATTCAAAATAAGGATATTCCTGTCAAAGTCATCTGTAGGTGTAAAATAGAGATGGTGACATGAGGAAATAATAATCAAAAATGCCTTTTGATGGTACCTTTTACTTTTTTTAGCAATGAGGTGTTACAAGGTTAAAAATATTGCATTGTTTCAGCTGTTGCCATGTGAAAATAACAATAGCAATCAAGAAGTTTCTTGAAGTTTAAAACTAAAAAGTATAAGTCAGAGGCTAAAAAATATAAATATACAGCCCTCCTGTTTCAAGCAAAAAACAGTACTTTAAGCATTAAAATGTGTGTTTATTCTGAACTGAAGACGTTTACCTTCATGCAGAGATTGATTGGCCAGTGTTGTCATTTTGTTTCTTCAATTCAACCCCAAAGTCTGTGGTGACATCACCGTTGAACAAAAAACAGAAGTTGCTGGAGAAGCTCAGCAGGTCTGGCAGCATCTGTGAAGAAAATGAATCAGAGTTAATCATTTTCTGATGAAGGGTCTAGACCCGAAACGTCAGCCTCCCTGCTCCTCTGATGCTGCTTGGCCTGCTGTGTTCATCCAGTTCCACACCTTGTTATCTCAGATTCTCCAGCATCTGCAGTTCCTACTATCTCAGAGTTAATCAGCGGCTCTCTGGGGAAGGATCACCAGACCCGAAATGTTAACTTTGATTTTATTTCTTCACAGATGCTAACAGACCTGCTGAGCTTTTCCAACAACTTCTGTTTTTGTTCCTGATGCACAGCATCCGCAGTTCTTTCGGTTTTTATTTAGTATGTGACGTCATCATTGCCTAGTTGCCATGACCTCCCTCTGGTGGCTGAAACCTACTGCTACAGGCATTTATTTCTCAAAAACAGTCATCAACACATACAAAAGCTGCTATAACAATGAAAAGTAAAGAAATAAAGGAGTAAATAAAGGAAAAGTATGAGGAAGGATCAGCAGATCATTTAACAGAAAGGAACAATCAAGCACTTTGAAGAAAAAAAGGACCTTCAACAAGAAATGGAAAGAAATCATTCAATTATCTATTGGGCATCAAGTGATCTCTTTACTGAATTACAGCTACTTACACAATATAAACAGTTTTACTTTGCAGATCAAGCAAATGATCCCAAAAGAAAACCTCTGAAAATCTTACTTGCTTTTGGTAAGTAAGAGCTACACAGAATAAATACACATGGTCTTTCCAAGCACAATATGAAAGATCTAGAGATGGTGTAAGAGAGTACTAGAGAGCCAAGAGTTGAGGCGAAGTTCTTGCTAGGTAGCAGCAAGTTGTAAATGAAGGGGGATTATTAATTGATAACTGTGATCTCATCTCATTAATATGTGACTTTCCAACACAGTGAACAAACCAGACATCAAGAATTCTTGGCATGGAAGTCAGAATGGGTACTTGGCAATTTCAGCTATCCTCTGGCTGTGACCAGTCTCCAAACAGCATGTCAGAACACAATCCATAAGTGCCAGCTGTACACATCCCTCATCCTCAGTGATTGCCACCTGATATTTGCCAACTCTTCACCATCCTCTCCAAACCACTTGTAGGATGCTGCAGAGGCACATACCGACAGATCACGGGTAACTAACAGTGAAAGACAGCAGCAGGAATACTTTGTACAAAGGGACAGGCACCCAGCTCATGGATGGGACAAGGCTGCATCTCAGGGCAGCATGTTTGCAGCATCCATGCCTTGCCTTGTCACATGGTAACTAAAGCAGTCACACAACCTGGCAGCATGCCTTGTTGGTCAGCAGCCCTCAGTCAAAGGAGCATACATCTTGCTGTACGGCAGTGTGCTATGTCAGTCTCATGACTGCATCATGTGCCAGCAGCTTATGTAGCAAACACACTGCATGTGAAGCAAGCAAGCAGCCATATCTCAAAGTCTTAGGGGAGTAGTCCTCACCAAAGTTCACAGAGGTATCTGTCAGTCAGGGGGTCCTGGCACAGCATGTCAAGGGTACCCTCCCGTGCCACCCCCAAGGGATTGCCACAGTCAGGAGGTCTGAGCCTCTGCAGTCTGGGGTGTGGCTCCTTCGTAACTAGTCCAGGAGGGTGGGTAGGGTTATGGTGGTCAGGAAACAAAGGTCAGGGCTTACCATCTGGGGCTGTTCACTCAGGTCACTTAGGAGGGTGAGCCACTGTAATCCACTGGATTCATTCAGAGAGACTAAGGGCAGAAGGGGTATGGTGGAGGAACAAGGCAGTGGGGTGCACTGTCCCAGGTAGGAGACTCAGGAACATATTCATGACGGTTGGGGGGGGGGGTGGGGGGTTGCAGGTTGACAATTGTGAAGGAGACAACAGTAGGAAGGAGGTAATGTGGGACAGGAGTTCATCCAGTCAGGAACACCCTACCCTCTTGGGGGAGACAATGCATGACCACTTCATATGCTAAGGGCTGCGAGGGTGAGGTGAGCAGGTGCAGGCTCATTTTGGACCCTATGGAGGTTTGCAGCTGATGGGGTTTGCAGGAAATGCTGCCAGGAAGGGGATCAGGATATTCAAGGCCTCACTGACACACAGAGGTGGAGAAATCCACAGCCAAAGAGAGTTCATTTTTCCCTTTCATCGTGCTGGAAATCAAAACTGCATCACACACAGGACCATGTAGCAGACAGGACACAGAACCTATGGGCCCGTAATCACTAATGAACAAAAGGCAATGACTACCTGTTTGTTGAACACCTCCCCGCCACAGACACTGCTGACCACTTCATTCACAACGTCAATTTTGGACACAGAGGCTAAGGAAAAGACAAATGGTGTCAACAGAGCAGTGTTCGTCTTGCTTCCAAATGCTTTTGTAGGCTCGCAACACAGACATTGAACTATGCTACATCCTGTGTGGACGTGAAATTAGGCTTCATGAGGGCACAGTCACATTTCTGGCTACATAGAGACTCCAACAAAAGGATGTAGTGCAAAGCCAATCAAATTTAGATAAATTTTAACTTTTATATCAACGTGCTGTAACCTGTGTCACCAAAGTACCCTCAAAAGGTTTTTTTTAATTCTTCCTTTCCCTCACAATATTTTGGATTAATTGATCTAGTTAATAGGGAATGCTTTCTACGTTCAGATATCATACTTTTAGGTCTAATTTTTTTTTTCTAAACTTCCCAACGCCTCTTCTGTATTCATTGCCCAACTGATGGTAAATGGTGAGGTTAAAATATACTTTTGCATTAGTACAACTAATAAATCACAACTTCACAATTGGCAAGTTTTTTTCAAATTTTATGAATTAACTTACCTCGTTGAATTTAAAGAAATTTCCTTTTATATCACTGCAGTGCCCTGTGGACTGATATTGTTTTTAAATTTTTCTTCCTTTTATTCAATCTACGTTGAGCTTGTTTCGCTGGGACTGAAGTATAGATACTCTTCTTAATAGAATGAGCATTGATATGTAGAATTTAATACATTGGGGAAATTGTAAAATAATTGTGTCAGCGCGTTATTATTTTCTCTTGGACTCATGCAGACCTATGCATGGTGAAAACAGAGCTTAATGTTTTTAGTTTATGCAATGATTTTTGTTAGTCACTGTAAGGCGTGGGTTTGTGTGAGAACTTCCTTTGTTCTGTAACAGCACGGCAATTAAATTTGATCTGACTGAAAGCCAAGGAACATTCACCCTGTTTTAATTAGAGTTGCTACTTGCTAGCTTCCAGGTGTGGTGGGAAAGATATGAAATGTAATCTTACGTTGTTATAGGTTATCAACTGATCATTATGCTGGAAGCTGGAAGCCAGAGACTTGATGCTTATTTTATGTATTTTAGCGCATGATTCCCTGTGATTTGTATGTTTCAACAGCTGCCATCATTTTTGTGCATTAAAAACAACGATGGTTTTGAAACCCTTTCATTTTCTATGATACTTTGTTCACATGTGAGAGAGCTAAGAACAGCAGCCTGAGAATCCTCTGTGCTATGGCTTTCAAAATAACTCTGAGAATGCACAGAAAAAAAACAAGAACTTCATAATTCTTCAGTCTAGATATCCTGTCCCTTGCAAGGCTGAGTCTGAATTAGATATCTAAAATAGTGTCAGGAACCCGATACCTGAGTAATTTCTGGGTTGTGATCCTATAAAGCTCAGCACCCAATGAATGGCACTGAGCTCTGAATGGAGGCAGGACTTGCTAAAGCAGGAGCATTAGAAGATCCGTGACTGGGGCTCTTGTGACACAATGGTAGTGCCAATACCTCTGGGACAGGTGACCCAGGTTTAAGTCCTACCTGTTCCAGATGTGTCTAAGGGAGTCACAACAAGGCCTCCTTCAATCTTACACCAGCGGAGGCAGGTATTCAGATGGCCAAAAGGATCTGTGAATCAATCAAATGACCAGCCATTTCGATGCAGCAAAAAAGCTTGACAGTAAAATGCAGTCTGCTTCTAAAAAATAATCACTGCAGAAGATCATCGAACCAAACAACCAAGGGCCATTGTACACAAAGGTGCTTGTTTTTGTTAATTTCCAGTTGGAAAGTCACTTCCACACCCTCCCCAGCCCTTTAACTAACTCACAAAGAAATGTAACGCTCTGTTGATTGGGGATGACTCTGATCCAAATTCCTACCACCTCACTTCCTCTTTGATGACTGTGTCACAATTTATTTAAAAATCTGATGTATTAGCTCCATTATACCAACTTGACTGCTCACTATCTGAGGGTGAATCAGATTGTTCACAGTGTGATTGTTGTTATGTTTGACTCCAAGATGGTTTTCTAACCACATATCTGCACTATCACTTAGCAATAGTTTATTCCAGCTCCATAACATTGCTCAATATATATTGTTTCACATTTCCAGCTGCCGAACCCCTCATCTATTGTTACCTTTAATCTTGACTATTTAACTGCAATCCTGGATTCCATCATCTCTTGACTACAAACATAAGGCCATCCAAAGGCCTGCTGCCCATATACTAGCACCAAATCCCTTTCTCTTATCTCCCTTTTACACATGTATGCTGATGCTATCCAGTTCAACTTCACCATTGCCTCCCTCAACCTCTCCACTCTTCCAAAACTGTCAGCCTTTTTATCTAACATTCTGCACTTAATGAACAAACATTTCCTCAAATTTAGTATTGAGAAGACAATTGTCTAACAGACCTACACTGACTTCCCCAACATCTCAATTTTAAAATTCTAGTCCTTTTTTTCAAATCCTACTCTGATGTTGTCCCCGTCAGCTTCTGAAATCTGCTCCTAAATAAACGCACTGCACTAAAAGTAGCCACTTAAGCAAACAAAACCCAGCCTCTAAGTATTGGAATTTCCTCACTAAATCTCTCTGCCTTTGAACTTCTCTTTCTTCCATTAAGATGCTTCCCACAACCTACTTTATAGGGCCTATATCACCTTTCATGGCTCAGTGTCAAATTCCACTTGCTGATGCTCCTATGAAGAGCCTTTTCATTTTATTATGTTTTAGGTGCTGCATAAATGCAAGTTGTTTCTGTTATTTATTTGTTTGATGTTGATTATGAGGGATTGTCTGTTATCTTTCTAACTTTATTGTAGCTATGTTAGTCAGCCACTGTTACCTCCTTGCACACATCCTTTGAGAGCAGTTGGCCTTGGGTCACAGTCCACAAGTTTTCTTTGTTGTTAGGCACCACAGTGGGAACACTTAACAAGGGGAAGGGGCACCTTTTAAAAGTTATTTGATTTTGGATCAGTATACAGCGGAATTTTATCAAGCACTGATAG